TTAGCAGCACCAACGGGCGTGACACAGTGACGTATAGAACTGTTGTCGCACAGTGGGTCAAAGGCTCGATGGATTCACTACAATTCGTTCGTTCACTTCGGTGCTAAATTGGTACTTGCACTTGCCAGGGAATCAAACTCCTCACCATCAGCTTGTTTGCAAGCAACCAACGAAAGAGAGAGAGCAGCTATCGGCACAATTCGCAACCACTTTATTTTGCTATATTCGAGACATTTCATGAATGCCCTCCCTCTTTCATAGAGTGCGAATAGGAAGGAGATTTTGGCTTTAACTTATGTCTTTTCAATGTTTATTTGATGTGCATGAAAAATTAGCGTTATTAAGTTTTATTAATGACAATTCTCTAGTTAGTGCTGTGTGTTGCTATTAATCAAAAGCAGTATGCCTTCTATGACTGGCAACAAATAGTGCGGTTTGTGTTCAGCGGTCTCCCCTTTTTTGTGTCTTTTGGCTTTTTTTCTTTTTCCTCGTTTCTGACCACCATAAAGTTTGTCTATGTCCGAAATTTCCGGCTTTTGAGTGAAACTGTTCTGATCGCCGGTCTCATCTTCATTCTCATGTGAATTGGTTAGTTTTTCCACGTCATTTTGGACAAGATTCTCGACTTCACTCTTACGTGAATTGGTTGGTTTCTGCACGTGATTGTTCTGACCGTCGGTCTCAGTTTTATTCTCACGTGAATTGGTTGGTTTTTGCACGTGATTGTTTTGGTCACCGGTCTCAGTTTCATTCATAGGTGGATTGGTTGATTTCTGGGCGTGACTCTTATGATGGCCAGTTTTCTTTTTACCTTTTTTTCGTTTTTTTCCAGGCTTTGCTGAAAATGCATTTTTTTGGCACAAATATGTCCCACCACCGTAGTGATCACACGATCTTCGCGCAATAATAATTGTATCGTTTGGGTAACTCGCCAGTATCCCCGGGTACCATGCTAAACAGCAGACATCACTATACATGCAAGGATACGGTTTGTAGAAACGAAAGTCTGGAAAATCAACTAACGGCCGCATGACTGGTCTCTTTACGATTGGTATGCGGTGTAAATTTTGCACGCGGTATTCATTCGTTACTTCGCTAGAACCAATTAACAATCCTTTACCGTCCACTCGATTCCCAATCACCATGTTCCATATGTATCCCTCTTGCTCCATCTTCTGGCCAATCAGTTTTGCAAACCACCACACGAGCGGCAATTTAACGGCTGGTGAATCTAGGAAATCGAATAGCTTTCCATTATATTTCTTCTGGCAAGCCGTGTTAGTAGCGGACCACACTCTGTCCTCTTCAGATAGTTTACATGACGACCACGACTTCTTGCCTGGACGATAGTGGCGTGCTTGTGCACAATAAAACACTCGGTAGCACTGTTTTGTTCGTGGTACGTAAAACGATTCATTCTCGCCGCAGCGATGTTCTGATGGCCCGTACGATAACTCTTTGATTTCGGAGTGATGTTTCAGGAAGTATTGTTCATCACCCACTACGTTTCGATCCCAGGGCTCTGGAAACAAAATTAATCATTGTTTTTTTTTTT